TCGCGTGGGCTGGAGTCCAGAGCCTTCCTTTCCGACTTTCAGGGAAGAAGCAGCAGGCCGTGGCCGGGAGGTCTCTGTGCTGCTCCATCTCGCTCTCCATTCATCAGCCGACTCCAGAAAACTCTCCTCAAAATGTTTTCTTGAGAACTTTTCTTTCCAGCTTGTCCTTAAGGGACAATCAGTTCATTTATTTAAAAAGAGAAAGGAAAACGAAGTTTCTGTTTTTACGTCCCTGAGGACCTGAGGTAGCATTTATGCTAAATCCCACAGTCATTTGAGATGTCAAATGAATCAGAGACCTAGGACTCAAATGCCTGGACTCTTGCTTCTGAAACGCGGCTCACCAACCAGGTCTCCAAGGCCTCCTGTGGGCAGGGGGACGCTACCCTCAACCAGGCCTGCGTTCAGAGTCCAGGGCTGTGCTGCAAGCAGCCCGGCCAGCATCTGCCCTCCTCTCCCGGGAGGCTCTACCACAACAAGCGGCTGCAGCAGGCTGGGAGGTGGCACTGGGCTCCTGTCCTTTCACAGGTGCTCACCCTCCCAATTTCAAGCACTTAGGAAAGCACTCTGTGAAGTTTGCCATTTCCTCGTGATGTGAAGGGGTGGCGTGGAGCAGGCTGCCTTTGGCTGTCCCTATGGACCAGAACAGGGAGGTGCAGAACTTACTGAGCTACACACTGGCCCATCAGAAGACCGCACAGGCAGTAACGTCCTGGGCCCTGTTGCCATCAAGCCATGGGGTCCCCAGTACCCGGGACAGTCACAACTTTGACCTGGGTTCCTGCCCTTTCCCTGCAGGGGAATTAGCCCCTGACTCTACAGTTGCTGTGAGAGTAGGCAAGTGCCCTGACTAAGCCCGTGGCTGGTGGACCCTCTGACACCGAGATTATTCTGGATGATAAGAAAAGAGCTGCCAAGATGAAACAAATATTCAGAAACTTATTAAACAGGGATGAGAGGTGGGAGGGAAAGGGAGAGAGAAGGGAAATTGCATGGAAATGGAAGGAGACCCTCAGGGTTATACAAAAGTACATACAAGTGGAAGTGAGGGGAAAGGGAAAAATAATACAAGGGGGAGAAATGAATGACAGTAGAGGGGGTAGAGAGAGAAGAGGGGAGGGGAGGGGAGGGGAGGGGAGATAGTAGAGGATAGGAAAGGCAGCAGAACACAACAGACACTAGTATGGCAATATGTAAATCAATGGATGTGTAACTGATGTAATTCTGCAATCTGTATATGGGGTAAAAATGGGAGCTCATAACCCACTTGAATCAAAGTGTGAAACATGATATATCAAGAAATTTGTAATGTTTTGAACAACCAACAATAAAAAATTAAAAAAAAAATATTCGGAAACTTGAAAAGAGAGAAGATATGAAAGAGAGAGGAATTCTCTCAGGTACCCCGATGTCCATTTGCCAGTGATTAGTGCCAGTTGGAAGATGGGGGCATCGAGCACGGGAGCTCTGTCTCTGGCCGCAGTGTGCAGGGGTTCAGATCTGGCCACCAACACTCAGCTGTGACCGTGAGCTGATTAAATGTCTTGTCCATTGTCAGCTCCTCGTTGGTGAGAGGGGGTCACGGTCTCCTCTTTGAGTTTTTTTGAGGGTAGCATAGCCTCAGTTTATCAGTGGGCTGCCCTGGGCAGGGTGCTGGCAAAGCACAACCCAATTCTTTCTTTCCGATGCCTTTTCAGCCCAGCTCTGCCCGATCTTCTTCCCATCCCCCAGACGAAATCCCCCAGACTAAAGCTTCTCCAGCCATTTTCAGACATTACCAGACATTTTCAGAAATGATCAAGCCCAGAAATCTAAATGTGGATTCAGTCTCTTCTGATTTAAAGCCTGGCCATCCACCACAGCTGGGCTGTGACCGAGGCTCACTCACCCACGGGGAAAGGCAGCGGAAGTGGCCTTGCTCACCATTTCTCCCCTTCCCATCCCTCCTCCCCATTCTCACACCTCAGTGGGGCAAGGGCAGGAAGCAGAGGGCTGAGCAGAGGGGCCTTAGGAGACTGGTGCGTGGCCATCTCCTGTGGGACATGCCAGGCACCCAGGGCTGGCTCTTCCTCATGGTGTTCTGTGGGTCCTCTGGAGGCCCCTCACCCTCACTGCACAGATCCTCTGAACAGAGTCTCCTCCAAAATGACCAAGCCCGGCTACTCCCACCTCACTGTGGCTGACAGCTCACAGGTGTCCTTCCTCCTCCATCCAGCTCCGGCCTTCTTCATGCTCTGTCTTAGGGACCCTGCACACTGCACCTGTCCTTTGGGTAGAGGCCTGGCCCTCTCTCCTTTGCACTATTGGTCTTGTGGACCCAATAGCTCTGTGGTGGGGCCTGTTCTGGACATTGTGGGTGTTTAGAGATGTCCTCCCAGAAGTAACAATAAAAATGACCTCTAAAGGACAGAACACCCCCAAGCCCAGTTGTAGACTGTCCCAGGCAAGTGTTAGTCAAAAAGTTCAGTGTTTCCCAAGTTTCAGGAGACAATGGAAGCGCCCTGAACGCTTGGCTCAGGATACTGAGCCTTGATACTGCCCTTCCTCTAAACACTCAAGTCTGTTTTCACTGTCATCCCATCTTCTCTATCATTACCTGGGAAGATAAGGAAGATGAGCCAAGAGTGGCAAAGGTTGGTTGGGGCCACTCTCAGGAATCCTGCACAAATGGCCTTTTTTAGATCAGGGGGGTGTTGATCAGCATTCAGACTCCACTTTTATTGCAAGAGAACACACATCAGTCCAAGAACGCTGCAGCAACAGAAGGGGGCTATTGACTCTGAGATTCAGAGACGACACGAACCATTTAAAACAAATGAATGTGGCACTGAGAAAAATGCACTTAATAAGAAAAGCAAATAGCTTAAACCTGCACAGCTTACTTAATAAAGTTACATTTTGAGGGAAGGACCCAGGTGAAAAGGGATGGATATCAGCTCCATGTCCTCCTAAGGCCTTGGAGTCATGTGACTCTTCAGGGGTTGAAAGTCATATCACCCCCTCCCCACCCTGGTCCTTTCTTCCCTTGGATGAATGGGGCACAAAAGCCCTTGGCCAGAACAGAAGGAGAAAAGGGTAGCATTACAGTTCGGATCTGGAATGTCCCCCAGAGGTTCCTTGTTGAAGTCTTGGTTCCCAATGCGGCAATGTTCAGAAGTGACTTAGGATGTGATTGTATCATAAGGGAATGTGATCTCAATGGATTACCCATGGATGAGATCATAGTTGAAGGAAATATTGGGAGTGGGTGGAAACTGTAGGATGCTAGGCCTAGTTGAAGGAAGTAGGTCACTGGGAGCATGTCCTGGAAGGATCTATCCTTGGCCCCTTTCTCTCTCTCTCTCTCTCTCTCTCTCTCTCTCTCTCTCTCTCTCTCTCTCTCTCCTGGCCACCATGAAGTAAGCAGCTCTGCTCCACCATGCCCTTCCACCGTGATGTACTGCCACCACCCCAGAAACAATGGAGCCAGCTAACAATGGACTAAAACCTCTGAAACCATGAGCCAAAATAACTTTCCCTCCTTTATGTTGTTTTTCTCAGGTATTTTGTCATGGCAATGGAATACTAACTAAAATAGGCAGTAATTATCCTTACTTCTTTTTAGTTTACCTCAATCCCTAAAAAAAAAAAAAAAAATTATACACAGGAATGTAAAAAGCATGGCTTGTTTCTGTTTTAAAACAGTAATTCTAATTTAGTGATAAAGAAATCAAGATACATAATTCAATAATATTTTATTGTCAATAGCACAGAAGAAATGCAATATTGAACCGTCAGATGAGGAAAAACCTATTTACAATGAATGGCAAGGAACAGATGAAGGAAGGCTGTCACAAAATCTGCAGTAAATATATCCTTTTGGTAGTGAATTAATACATGAGCCTGCAACATAAATAGCCAACCAGAAACACTTTACAATTACTATCAATGTAGATTACAAAGTCACAATCCAAATTAACTATAGCCATATGCTGAAAAGAAAATGTGTCAAAACATTTGGATATCAGCTCCATGTCCTCCTTTAGAAGTAAATAGCTTTACTTCTAAAGGTTTTAGATTCCTTTCCTTTTCCACTATTTATCACATTAGACAAAGAGACAAGTCCCTTTAACATTCATAAAATTATTTTGTTGGCTATTATGAATCCCTGTGGATTCTAAGCCCATGGTGTCCAACATCCAAACCATTCTGAGTCAGCTAGAAGACCCTGCCACCAGTCCAGCAGTAACCAAATGACCAGGTGGGACTGCTCTCAAAAATGAAAGTCAAAATTTTTTTAATAAAGCTGAGCTTCTCCTTGGGGTCTCACATTTCAGCTACTTTATCCAACATTTCACTATAAAAGTTCTGCAAACTGTTTTCATAAGCTAGTGACATACTCATTTGTCAGCAAAATTTGACCACTTATGGACTGGAGTCTTGATTTGTCTGTTTTATGTGAATATTTTATATTTTGTTGCAGAAATAATGTTAGGGTGTTGATTTACAGAGTACTGTTTCAGACCCTGCTGATGAAGCTCCATAACATACCAAAAGTGCTAGGCCCGATGTGCAATATATCTTTCTAAAAATCCCAAACATTCAGAGTTTGAAAATACATGTATCTCTCAAGGCTTAACATAAGGACTTCTGTGCCTATAGTAGAGAAAACAGGGGTCCAAGTTTTGTAGGTCCTATGCACCATAGTTTCGTTAGACTTTCGGGAAGTGAGAGTATCTAGAGTATTCTATATCCCTGTGAAGAAAGGCAAAGTTCTGGGTATAAGATCCTACAGACCTTCCTTATAGGAATTTCTGTATGGAACACTGTATGTCTCTCCAGAATCCTGGACAGTTTGACAAATAAAGAATAAATATTTTTCCTCTAAGGCAATTCCTTTTCATTAAAAGCATATGTCCTTTTTTTTATGGGGGGAAAAAAGGAAACAAAAGAAAGAATTAGAAAATAAGGGCCTGTTGTGTGAGGGCTACACATGACAAGGACCAGCTGCTTCCTGATCTAGCAACAGTAACAATTTATCGTTTCTAGGAAATGAATCTCTGGATGCAGAGTTTATAGAAATCTGCATCCAGAGACAAGTCAAGTGGGTCTTAACTTGGGCTAAGCCACTTCAGGAGAACAGAACTTGCCAAAGAAAATGATGTTTCGGGTTTTGTTGTGCCTGATGATGTAAATAAATGGGTGGTCGGCGTTAAATTCATCCTTGTGTTGCAGGATCCGGGATCCTGGCACCTCAATGGACTCCCCGCCATCTTCATTTATTTCTAAGCACGCTCTGTGAATGACATTCGACAGGGCCACTCCCTTGGTCTCTGACATTCCAGAGAAATCAGATGTATCTTCGTTAAAGGTATTTTTCAGCCCCAGGTTTTCCAGACTAGACTTGGGGTCAATGATCTTTTCCACCTTAAACTTGGGAAGGGAGAGTTTGACTTTGGCATTGGCCATGGTGCTGGGATTGGTCCACTGCAACAGCGTCTCTGAGTTGAGTTGTTTTTCAATCTGAAGGACAAAAAGGAAAGGAATTTAGTTTTATGTATCTCCCACTGTAAGAGACCTTGCTTGATGGAAAACATAAAGAGTTTTCATGAGTCTGATTCTGAAGCAGCCTGGGTGGAGCTTCATCAGAGATGGTGGAGTACTTCTGATAGGAACCAGTGTCTCTTGTAAGACCCACCAGCCACGGGCTCTGTTCTCCTCCTCCCCTACCACAGTGCTCCCTCTGCCCTGAAAGTTATGAGGGCATGGTTTTAATTGGTTTGCTTTAAATTACAAACTAGCTTTTCAGAAAACAGATGCATGGGGTATAATGCTGTACACACGACAGTGAAATGAATATAAAACTAGAAAGGTTTTTATACATATTTCCTGGATTATTATTATAATTTCTCTATAAAGAAATCTAGAATACCCATGGGCTGGGCACGGCATGAAATTTAACAACTCAAATTAAAGGTAAAGTTATTCTTTTTAAAATTGGAACTTGAACTTGAGTCATTCTTCAAGTCATGGGCGGTAAAGTGGGAAGTACCTCAGAATGTGACATTATTTGAAATAAGGTCAACTGCAGGTATAATTAGCTAAAATGAGGCCATTAGGGTGGGCTCTAATCTGACTGAGTTCCTTATAAAAAGTAAGAAATTGGACAGAGACAGACACACACACAGGGAGAAAGCTATGTGAAGGTGAAGGAAGACAACAGGGTGGAGTGTGGACACGCCAAGGGACAGCAAAGGCTGCCAGCCACGGCCAGGAGCCAGGCGAGAGACACAAGCCCACTCTCCTTGCAGCCCCCAGAAGGAACCAACTTGCCAACACCCCAACCCCAGGACTGTGGCCTCTGGAACAGTGAGAAAATAAATATGTGTTATTGAAGCCACCCGGGGTGGGGTTCTTTGTTATGGCCGCCATCACAAACTCATCCAATGTGTATTCTTACACATTTCTTTCCGAGTCTCAAAAGACCATTTTCTTTAGTTCTATTTCCTTAAGAAAAATACTGACACATTTATGAGAGTATTTTAGGTAAGGTAAAATCCAAGACAACTGAATAATCGCGAAAGATCAAGACATGAAATAAGAGAATAAAAAGAAGAGAATAATACATCAAAGAAGAATGAGGACAGAAATTCATTCAGGTCATAAAAGGATGGAGGTGACAGTAACAGGTAAGAGGGGGACTGGTTAGTACCAGAGGCCTAACTGGGAACACACACAACCTCTGCTCTTCGAGAACCCCCTTCATAGGTAGACCCCTCTTCATAGATATGTAGACCCACGGCCCACACGGCCCGGGGCTGAGGCCCAGATGAGGAGAGCTAGAACAGAAGCCAGGGAGGGGAGGTCCCAGAGGGAAGGGGGGGTGCCTCAGGCAGCTGGGCAGAGACTGAGCCCAGTGGGAAATTAAAGCTCATTCACAAGCAGATAGATCTGCCACTTTCATTGAACTTTGTGGCTATAACAATCTGAATAAGTGTAATAATATCATAATTGATATCACATAAAAATATATAAACTTTTATATTATAAAATAACATAATAATACAATAACCTGCATAATACATAAATTTGAAGCATAATAAAATCTTGTGTGGGTGTGTGTGTGTTTCAAATTTATTACACAGAATTAACCCTAAGGTAAGCTGTAGATTTTAGCTAATAATAATGTATCAATGCTGGGAGGGGAAGGAAAGATACTGGCGAATGAGATTGATCAAATTGTTATGTGCACGTATGACTATGGCATAACGAGTCCCACTGTTGTGTATAATTATAGTGCACCAAAAAAATTAAATAAAATAAAAAGCAAAGAAAATTTCAAAAAAATATTTCAGTATTGGCTTTTCAACTATAACAAAAGTACCACCCTAATGCAAGATGCTAATAACTGGAGAAACTATAGGATTGGGAGAGGGAGAGAGAGCATAAGGGAATCCTCTGTACTTTCCACTTGTTTTTCTGAAAACCTAAAACTAAAATAGTGTGCTAATAAAGAAACAAATGAAGCTTCTGTTCTCAAGACAGTGGGCCACGCAGCGCATAGCCTTTTGGGCTCTTCCCGCTGACATGAGGGAGGCTTCCTCGCCTAGGGGAGAGAACGTACCTCCAATTTCCCAGGCTCAGATCCTGGGTCTACATATCAGTGACTAGTTCTATGACCATGGACTGGGTACCTACCCCTCTGTGCCTCAGTTTCCTCCTTGTTTCTAACCACAGGGCTGCCGGAAGAATTGAATGAGATCGTGCACATGGGGAATGAAGCACCATTCCTGGCACATCCTAAGTGCCAAATAAAAGTTGGCTGTTCTCATATTAAAGAGGAAAGGCCCCTGAAGCCCTTGGAGATGACTGAGCCAGTGGTGTGTGAGGCAGTTGGCCGCAGGCTTCTCATGCCCCACACAGCTCAGTCCAGGGGCCTCTCTGCCCTCTCTGCCATGGCAGGGCTCCTGCCTCCCTGTACATAAGCACTGCCTCCTCCTCACCTTCTCCAAGCCCGTCGACTCATCCTCCACATCCTTGGGTAGCAGGATGAGCATGCTGAGGTGCTTATTTTGGAAAGGAAGCTCAATGATCTTGCAGTTGATGTCATCAATGTTGCCCATACAGAATGTGGCCTCCATGTTCATCATCTGCACAGGTTTGGTGTCTGTCTGTTACAGGAGACAAGTTTGGACACGTTAACAAGCAATTACTTTCAAGCACAAATATATATACACCATACATACACAAAAACATAAATACACACACCACACCCTTACACAGGAACACACATAAATACATAAAAAATAGGAAGATAGCTATATACACACAAATTTGTTCATATGGTTTTGGATCATTGTGGCTCATGATCCAGCCTCTGGGATTCGAGCCACACTGCACCCAAACCATCAAGCACTGACCTGTGTTAAGTTTATAAATCCTTTTCAAAAATTATCCATGTCCTTTATAATTCTATGTGCTATATATTATATAAACTATATATAGTACTGTATTTGCATATATAAAATATTAGCAGTAAGACAGTCTAAAAATATATGAAAAGTTTAAGTTAGTGTCTATAGATACTTATGATTTTTGAGATCTTTAAACAAAGTCTTGGTGGAGCTGACTTCAAAGTAAATTCTACTTGCAAACCCACATACCTATTTACAGAGTGCTTCCTTAAAAATGCCTAATCAAAAAAGATGTGGCATATAGAAGGACAAAACCGTATTTGGTTTGCCCTCTCTATTTGTCTTTGAGACCTCTCCCCCTGTCTTGTACCTACTCAGATCTGAGCAGATGGAGAGTCTGGATTGGAGATATGAAGACCAGGTCTTGGTCCCAAATGTGACACAAGCAGATGCTACAATCTAGAGCAAGTCTCTCGACCTAAGTCTCTGTTTCCTTGTCAGTGGAACGAGGAGATTGGAAAATTCATAATAATAGCTATGGCTGGGGAGGGAGGAAGAGAAGAGAATCAGCGGGGTGGGAGGTGGGGGTACACACACACAGCAGCCCAGCTGTTGTGACTTTTTTTTTTAACTCTCTAAAATAACTAAGACAAAATGTTAAGTTCATGAAGTTGGTTGGTAGGTACACTGTGTTTCTTTTATTATTCACTATAATTTTTTGTGTGATTGAAATATTTCATGATTTTAAAAGATGAGAGTTTTCTTTTTTTTTTTTTTTTCTTTTTTCTGAAAGTCCCTTCCTCCAGCTTCCATACACTCCACGCTCCTCTTGCAACAGGGCTGTGAAAGGGCTATAACCCTCAGGCCTCTGTCTCCCAGGACCATGCAGGCCTTTCCCTCTCTGGGCTCCCAGGATCCAGTCTCCTACCTCTGCTACCGAGGGTTTCTGAAGAAAAACTAATTCATACTAAGCGAAAGACTGATATAGTTTAGGGTAACTTACTGTCTTCATATGCACCTCCCACAGGTAGTTTCCTGTTAACCTAATCTCTTTAGGGGGAGACTTCCAGCTTCATGTCAGTCCTTCAGGGATAACATCACAGTAAAACCTGTACCTCTCTGGGATTTTTCAAACAGTAAGCCGCACCTTACCCAGCACCGCTCTCAAAACACAGCTATGCCTTCCTTATTTTGCTTTTTGTACATACCTGTATCTTAGCACTTGCCACAGTGCTAGGAATATTTTGTGGTTATCTTTTCACCTCCCACCTCAACTGGAATATAGTCATGGCAGATACAGTCATGTCTTGATCCTGGGATATCCCACCAGATAGTACCTATTTACTAAATATTTGACTGATGGATGATTGAAAACTTCAGTGCTAAAGTATAACCAGAAAGCGAATTATGATAGGAAAACATGTTGCTTTAAAAATTTACTGATAATTCTTCCATTTTTTTTTAAGAAGATATAGATTTGTCTAAAAATTTCCATCAGGCTAGACTGCCAATAGTTTCTGAACATGCCACAGAGTTGTGTCCTCCAAAAGCTATCATCGATTTCACTTGTCAGCACTGAATTTAGGCACAACAATCCCATTTTCTGAAACACGCATTGAGACATGTTTTGAAAACAGGACTAAATAAAAACTATCCCAGAAAATACAATATAAATACAGATTAAGCACCTCTAGCCTGAAAACCCCAAATGCTCTAAACTCCAAAAGTTTATGAGCACCACCCTCATGCTTATATGAAAACTGTGTCTAACATGAAAGTTCCACACATGACCTCATGTGACAGGGAAAAATACAGAGCACTAAAAATGCTGCGTGAAATCACCTTCATCCTATGTGCATAAGATGCAAATGAAACATAAATGAATTGTGTGTGGCCCTGGGACCTTAAGAGTGATGCCATTAAAACACGTTTTAGATTTCACTTCAGCAGGCCCAGGGACCCTTTGCCTACCCTTCCTCTGAAGGAGAACCAATCACCAGTCAAATGAGCTAGAGGAGGCTGGCTCCATGACTCTGTAGAGGCTGTAAGGTCACATTCCACTTCAGCTCCAAAGGAAAGACAACACTAAGAAGTTCCAAGGCCATGATTAAATCTGAAGAAACCGTAAGTGAAAACTTCAGAGTGTGAAGAATCCAATGTGTCCTTGGTTCCCAGGCAGGCCTCTGGTGCAGTCAGTCCTGTCCCTAGCAGTGAGCTTTGAGAAGACCACTGCAGTTGGGAAGCTAAGCTCAGGAAGAGGAAGTGGAAGGAGGACCTCCTGGCTCCCCTCCACACCCTGGATATTTTGAGTAGGTAAAAAGCAATAATGGTGGTTGTTGGCCTCTTCTGGAAAAATATCCCAATAAAACCCAATGAGGTTGTGTCTCATATTGACTGTTTAAATAAACTGAGGGGCTGGGGATGCAGCTCAGTGGTAGAGCTCTTGCCTACCATAGGTGAGGCCTTGAGTTCAGTTCCCAGCACTACAAACTGAGTTTTGGGGATTGACAGGTCATTCATTCAACAAATTTGCAGACAACCTTAATGGCATGTCAGAATCTGCCAGGAACTACAGACACTGAGATATAAAAGCACCACCCTCATGCCGTGATAAAGCCCACACACCAGTGGAGGTCAAAAAAAAGCAAATGATTAGATTTTACTGGAAAAAGTATACTTGAGGGTGGGCAATGTATGACTAAAACCCCATGGAAAAAAGCAAAAGGCACAGAAGTCAGTCCCATGAGCCTGTATCCCAAAGGGCTTTTCTCCTGAATTCTAGCATTAAGGTGCTGCTTATTAGGCAAAAACAAGTGATCAATGCCAGGTACTCGTGGCTCAGAAAAATTAGAATTGATGCGTAGATTCGTCAGGGTTAATAAGCTACCTTCAATTATGGCAGAGACTCAAAGACTGCTGTGGGTCTAACTTCTTCACGCCACTTACCAAACCACATCTTCATATGGATCCCTGCGTTGTCCTGGGTTCTCCCATGAAGTGGGTCAATTTTCCAGTCTCAGCTATTTCGTTTCTTTTACAAAAGAGGTGCTTCACCTATGTCTGAGTTATTTTTCACATAGTCACCTCAACACTATTAATGAGACTGCCCTGCAAAACAAGCTTCTCACCCTGCCCTGTTGCAGATGGGTAAGCTGGACTTTTTTCTTCAGAAAGTCAAGAAGTGCTTCAAACCATCTTTTAAGTTAGACATTAAAATATCCAAACTGGGCTGGGGGTGTGGCTTGGTGATAGACAGCTTGCCTAACATTTGTGAGGCCCTGGGTTCCATCCCCAGCATTGAAATTAGTTAATTAATTTCATATTCAAATCATGTGCTTCACTATCAATAGGTGAGAAATTGAGATCATAGAGTAGATAGTCAGGAAAAAGATTCCTAAGTGGTCCGGGTCTCACAATAACCCAAAGGCTTCTGCTAGAAGGATTTAGTTTGCTCTTTTTCTTTCCATTCCTCTTCCTTTCTTGCTGAAGGCCCCATGCCCTCATTTTCCTTGTTGGAATGAATTCCGATACCCCCTCCCCACACACACACCTCTCCATTGCCATAATGTGTAGGATCTGGACTAGGATCCTTGAACCATCCCATATGGCCACATACCTTGCTGACTCTGAAAGGGCATTCTTTTGTTTCTGATTCAGGGAATTTCTTCATCCACTTTCCAACAAAGTAGGCAGCATTAACCACGAGGATTTTGGTCTGGTCATTTACACTGTTGTCAGACAAAATGTTCTCAAAGTGGCCTGCAAACAATTTTAGAAAACCAAAAAGAGCAGTTACCCTTCCAAACTACATCGGTTACACACATGCATGTTCAGTCACTGGGGATTTACTGCTTGCTGGACTGGCACCATGTAAGGCCTAATAGGATTGCAAGTCAGATTTTCTTGTGCTCCTGGGCAAATTCATGGTCCCTTGCTGTATGCCTGGCCCTGTGCTCAGCCTTTTCATATATATTATCTTACTTTTTTCACAATGGCCCTATAAGACAAAGATCATCATCCCCATTTTAAAGTTGAAGAAACTGGGCTCAGAGAGGCCAAGGGGCTGACGCCAAGACAGGCCCTTCCCTTCACCCTACGCCTCTCTACTCCTCTCCCAGGGGTACTCCTTGCAGGCAGGTTATTTGTTCCAGAGTCAACTTAATCACCAGAAGCTCAATCACAGCTGCAATTATTATGGCTCTCAAATTCTCAACAGACAAAGCAATTCAACAGTGATAATCTCGTAATACAAAGAAATCCCCATATTTGAATAGCACTTGACATTTTTACAAAGATTTTCACATCAATTCTTGGATCCCACTTCCTGGGCTTGGACCATATGAAAAGGACCCTGTACTTGGTTTCATGTTCTGCTATCACATTCTTAAGATTTTTAATAAAATTTTCAGTAAAGGATTTTATTGAAATCCTGCATTTTTGTTTTCTCACTGTGCAAATTATGTATCTGGTCCTGCCAGATATGTGTGTTGAACACATAATAGTTTTATTGGAGAAACTTGAAGAATACAGATTTTTTAATCCAGTAAGTGGCAAAGCTTCAATTTAAATCCTGAGCCTCCATTTCCAAATTTAGAAGTCTTTTCACTCAACTACCTCTCCAGTCAAAAACCTCAAATGCATTATGATTTTAAAACAAACGTCTATTTGAAGAAAATACAATAGCTTAGGAATTCTAAAAGCAAAGTTATAACACAGCAATTGAAGCAGGAGCTGCCTTTTGTTTATGATTTTTAAAGATGTGCTCAACCTAGTATTATATATATATATCAAAGTTTCTCTTTACATAAGAAACCAAGAAAATTTATTTCAATAATGTAAATATAGGTAGGTATGCAAGTGTGCACATGTGTATGCATCTATATCTACCATTTGTTGGTATATGTTATCTAATTTGATTCTAACAACAACCACATGAAAATTAAAATAGATTAAATAGCATGCTCCCCTTGCTATTTTACAGTTCCATAAATTGTTATGGAATACCATAGTTGATAAGTTGTAGTGCCTGGATTTGAACCTAGGTCCTAAATTACTCCAGAGTTCCCGTCGATTCCATGTCCTTACTAGTGGACCTCATTATTCATGAGTCAGCACAGAGGCAGACCGCTCTGGGCTCTGCTCATTCACGAAGGAAGTATCCCCGGAAGAGTATCCTTCCACACCAGTAGGGTCTGCCTTAGGCTTCCCTCCCTAAATTAATACTATAAATATAGCCCCTGGAAAAGGACATAGTCATTGGCCTGCCATCCAAGTCACTTCACTTCCAACTTCTTCCTATCAAGGAAGGCAATTCACTGGGAGGTTTAATGGAGGGTGGAGGGGTCTAAACAGGGAGAATCCTGGGAAGCACTGAGCAGAGGTGCTGTCAAGGGACATGGGACCATCAGAGAGCACAGCAGCATAAGGATGGTGAGGCTCAGGACGCGCCCCCACTGCATTTGTTTTCTCATTTTGTCTTCCTGTGTTTATCTGTGAGTAAGACCTTTTGTCCTCTTTAATAAATTGGTAGAATTTTTGAGCCAGGAGTGATATCAAGGATCATCAAATTATACCAATCCTTCCATTTCCAGACTTTAAGACTTTAAAACTGGCCTCATGCTTTGCCCAAAACCCCTCTGTTAGAGGCACAGCTGTGGCTCCACTGGGGCGTGTGGCAGCTTATCAGAGGGCAAGGCCAAGTGGACCGAAACTGAAATACCACTGATTTCTGCCAAGCAATGAGATGATATGAGAAATTCCTAGAAAGGCAAGTTGTTGACATGTCTTGATGGACAAAATTGAGCCTGGATACAAACATCCAAGGAATCCTCCAGATGCTCAATTTTTATGAGTGGCTCAAGGATTCAGGAGAAAGGAAGGTCTATTATGCAGCAGAACAAGTAAAGTATACTTGCCATCGGTGAGATCCTTAATGGAGCTGTTGATCTGACCTTTCGTTTCTTCCAGTTTATCCTTGAAGTCCACGGTTTCCAATTCTTTTGCATACGGTCTCTTTGTAGAGCTAATGAACTCCTGAAAAACATCCAGTTTGTAAATTCACAAAGTACTCATAATCTATAATCAATCTATTACATTGTTACACAGTTATAACAAAAGGATTCTTAAATATCTATTACCATGGGTACGCTTTCCAATTTGGTAGCATGAACTGTTTCATTTACTCAATTATAGGACAAAATCAATTATTAAATGCATCCACCAATTTAGTATCTGCTTCCAGGAAACAAAAAGAAACTATGTTAAATATGCACAATTACAAAATGAATGGCAGCTTTCTGTTCAAATTCCACTGAATAATATGAGAATTGAGCAAATTGAATTGAATACGAGTTGCATTCTGATATAAGAAAAAAATGAATTTCAATTTCAGAAACATTAAAAATGTGTATATATCATAGAGAAAATGTACAGAGAAGAGAACTATGAGCAGAAAATCATTATCCTTCTTGAAATAAATAAATATGCTAAAGACCCTTGATACTCAGATAACGGTCCAAGGATGAGGAGCCACATCACCATCTGGGATCTTGATAGAAATCAAGAATCTCGGGCCCCACCCTAGACCCACCGACTCAAACTGTACATTTTAACAAGACTCCGAGGCATTTAATCTGCATGTTAAAATTTGAAACATAGTGCTATAGACATCACAGCGGTGGCGCTAACCTTAATGCTTGTTTAAAATGCAAAACCCTAAACACTATTGATCAAGACATCTGAGGCCAAGAATTTGCTTTTCTGACAAACACCCAGGTAGTTCTGATGCAGATCAGCCCTCTTCAAACTACAACTGTTTGTATTATTTAACTAGAAATTTCCAGGAGCTATCAGCTCAGAAAGAAGAGCAACAGAAAGCAATCTAAAAATATATAAAATTCAATTAAAAACAAAAACCTTGCAACTCCTAGTTTGGCTGAAATTCCAAATGTTGAAATGAAGGTTAAACCAAACTAAAAATAACTTGAATGTCATGTCCCTTCACTTCTAAGCACAGGGCTCCTGCACTTCTTCAGAGCAGCTAAGGCCTTAGCCAATTAACTTAGCTTCAGATAACTGCAACTCAGCCTTGGGACTGACTGAGTCACAGGCACCAACCAAGAACTTCAGAAAGGCTCAGCAAGAGGAAGGCCCTTCATTGTCCTCTCTGCAACAAAGATGTATTAAGTATCTCCTGAAGGACCACCTGGGGGCCATGAAAGTTTTTCCATGCCCAGCACCAACTCACATCTCAATTTTGTTTAATTTCCCAGATGATTTTTAGAACAAAAATGGTCGCATATGTGTGTCTTCAAGGAACGAGAATAAACTCACAACAATATCTAGCCACTTATGTGTCCTCAAAGGGTCTCAACAAAACAAAAACCTAATGCAGAAAGGTATAATATAATGACAAAAAGGCTTTGATGGAGATCTAGCGTTTAGATTTAGGAAGTTTGAAATTCTGACCAACCAAACAAGAACTGAATCAACTCTTACTAGAGAGAGAATCTCCTTGTAGTCTAGACTGTTGGCTATGTGTTTCAAATAGACTTTAAAATATTATGTATGATACACCCTGGGATCAAGAATCACAATGTTCTTTACAGGACTGCTTCAAGAAATGGCTGAACTTAAATAACCAGAGCTGCCTTATATAGACCCACATCTGACCAGCCTCGTAAAACAAACAAAACCAATTTGTGGCTGATGAAGAGTGCTAATTTATGGTTTATTTTTTGAATTGATCTTTGAGGAACACCAGGAGAACATTCTGTACAAAAACAAATGAGATGGGAATCCTAAAACACCCTGGAGCCATATGTCCAGCTATTGAGGAGTTAGAAATTTAACTCAAGAGTTTTTTGCACTTCTTGTCTCCAGGGATCCATTTGAATACCCCATTCTCTCAGAAAAGAAGCAGGGAAGAGGCATAGGAGGTGTGAGTGTTTGAGAGGAAAGGGAAGCCCACAAGCCTCTCTCCACTTGGAGCTAGAAGGTGTTGAGTCCCACAACATTCAACCTCTCCAGGGGGACTGGTCTATTTTAAGAAGTCTTAAATCAAAAAAGAACATCTTAGAAATGAATGTTGCAGGTCTGACAATGTGAAATGCCATTCCTGGAGGAAAAAGATAAATTTTGCTAATTGCTTTCAACAACTTACTGTAGAAGGGTTCAGTGATTTGTCTACGTAGAGCCGCTTGATTAGTTTCAAAGAGTAAAAGGAACTGAGTTTATTTACATCCGAGGTGACTGTTTGAAATCCGAAGTGCACATCTTTGACATTGTCAAAATGAAGGACCTGTTAAGAGAAGCAGCTCATTAGCAAAAAGCATTTCCTCTTCCTGATGAAGTGGACACCTTGTGATGGCAGCCACCTCAGCACACAGAGCCCCTTTGTTCTGATGCTCCCATAAAGCCAAGCCTCTTGGCCTCAGCACTGTGGACATTTGGGGCTGGGCAATTCTTTGCTGTGAGGGCCTACCCTGGGTGTTGCATATGCTTAGCAGCCTCCCTGACCAAGTAGGTGCCAGCAGCACTCTTCCTCCTGTGCATGACAGCCAAGACATTCAGACATTGTCAGATGTCCCCAGGGTGGGCTGGGGAGGGAAAAATTGTCCCTGTCTGAGAAACACTACCATAAAGATTCTCTTCTTAGTAAACCAAGGAAAATGTGCCCTTTCTTCAAAATGATGCCACTTAGCACTCACACAAAAGGATCTCCCCCCTGGGGAAGATTAAGCTGGGTTATAATTTCTATCCAATTTAGAGACGGAAACAAGAGATTCATACCAAGAGAGACAATCACTAGGCAGGTTTGAGTCCAGAAGGGAGGTGCCCAGAGCCGCAGTCCAGTCTCCCTGAGATGCTTTAGCAAGTGCTAAAGGGGCTGTTGCACCTCTGACAAATGGGGGGGGGGGGGGCTGCCTGGGAGAGTGAGAGTCTGATAGCCTTGCTTTGAATCCCAGCCTTCACCTATTAGGAAGGTAATCTTCTGTAGGCTGTCAGATCCTCACCAGCCTCTCTGTAAAATGAGCTGAGAATGCCTACTTTTCTGAGTTCTGAGGATTTACAGGTATTACATTTAAAACACCTAAAATGCTTGGATTCAAACTGTCTATTATCCTTACAGTGATAGTCTAAGCCATTTAAAATTCAGATGCTGTCATTTGAAGGGCTTAAATCCTTTTATTTTCTTCCTAACTTATATTTTGTTCCAAACAACAGTCAAGAATCTCTTCTGCTCTGTGGCACTGCAAAAATGTGACCTCAGCTAGGACGAGTCTCTCCTCACTCCATAGCTCAGGACTGTCAGACCTTGACTCCACAACTCAGGTTGCACTGCAGGGCCAAACTGGCTGGTCCAGGCACTGCTCAGCTCTCCTGCAGAATGATGAGCGAACAAGCCCAGAAGATGACAGAGCCCAGCACTACTGCTGGGGCACCAGCTGCCCGTACGGAGACCTTCCTTTATTGTTGTTGAGGAGCAGACCCCCTACCAGGAAGTGTTCTTCTCAGCCTTTCTCTAAAGGGACACAGGAAATGAGGAACAGGACTTGGGGTAGGGAACGTGGGAGGGGCAGTTCAGAGACAAGGTCAGATAAGAAGGTGCAGCTCCTCTTCCCAGGACTGAAGTTTCTCCCTCAAACCTCACTCAGTGTCAAGCCCAAGTTCTCCACCCTGACCTAAATGACATTCATGGGTCATAATGTCAGGACAACTAGGAATAGAAGAAAGTAATCCCTTTTTAAATGCTTATGAGTTCCTGGAAAGAAAGATTGCTGAACCTAGAGCAATCAATATTAGGAATAATAAAGGAATGAAATTAAGAGGACACTCACCTACTGTCTACAAGAACACGAGGATTTAAAATCATAACCATCAGGAAAATTATCTCATCTAAGGTCTAAGACCCACACAAAGCTAGACAGTCAATCACAGCCAAAAAGAAATTAAAACATCTATGCACATATGTGTGTATATGTAAAACACATCATCTTAGCCATGCTTCTTAAATGGATGGTAAGCCCCCCACCGAGAGAAATCCAAAACATGTAAACACAATTCATTTATTTGTCCCTGCTACTTAAAGGCAGATAATTTAAAATGTGACTTCTCTATTAAAATAAGTGAGGATAAATTCTAGGACAGAATGCTTGCATTATGCTTGCATCTTAAAATGAAGCACAAAGCTATAAATAAATTTTGCACTAATGTGGAAAACTTTGTTCTGTCTGAACGTAGGATGGAGGTGGAGGGTAAATTTACACTCTTTCTGCTCAGGGTATTTTCAGTGGAACATTTAGTGTACCTCCTTGATTAATCTTCGCAATATGACAGATGAAAGATATCAGGTGACTTGATGAAGGCCACCAGCAAATGGCACCCTGTGATTGCCTAGCAGATCCCCAGTTTCTCCATCACAACCATGTGCCTATACTAAGCACGGGCTGCAGGACACAGAAATGAGCTTTCACATTTAAAAACAGGTTAAGAGAATCCTGGAAATGACACAACCCTCCACCCTGATCGACCCAGACCACCAAGTCTCCATTTCTTTCTCTAGTTCCTGCCCATGGATTCTGATAACTGCCTCCCCGCTTAACGTCAAAACAAGGCATGGGGCTGTGGTTACCTGTCCAATTTCATTTGCTGTGTCACCTTTGGCACCTACTTGAGCAAGTGACAAAGAAGTGGAGAGACAGATTGGGGAGAAGAGGACATTGCCCACTGGCTCCTTTTCACACAGTTGTTTGAACAGGTCAACAGCAAAAGCCGAATTTGCCAGTCGCAAGGCATCCATCCTGGGCCTGGAAATGAAGACAGAGGAGAGGTGAATTTTCAATGTGTATTTAAAGTGTTCTCAACTGCATTCGGTCAACAAAGTAATGGTCTTGGGTAGGAAGAAGGAAATTCCGAAAGAGAGCCAGTTGTAAAGAGAGCTGTGGACAAGAGTCCGAAGGCATGTGAGGTCTTAATTGTGTGCCACTCTGCCCAGAATCTCCAAACTCGGGCCTGGTCAGCCACAATGGCCATGGTCTGGAGCCTAGACGTCGCACTATCTCTTCACATTAGTGGTCAAGTGGTTGACAGCACCAATCAAAATCAGTCGGTTTTATTTACCACATATTGTTTCAATTAGGATTTTGTTTAGGTCATACAAAATTGACTTTTTTGTAGATTGCAAACAGTCATATTGCATCAGTTTGACATGGTCAAAAAGACATGTTGAACTCCTGATTCGTAACCTGTGATGTGACCCTAATAGGAAATAGGGTCTCTGCAGATTTAATTGGTTAAGATAAGGTCATACTAGAGTTAGGTGGGCCCTGACCCAGTATGACCAGTGTCCTTAGAAGAACAGGAGAAAAGACACAAAGACACACCAAGAGGGAAGATGGCATGTGTGCACACAGACACAGAAAGCAAAGATGGCATCGAATACCCCCAGGCAGCGCCTGAGCCCTGGTGTCAGGGAGAAAGCTCCACTACTCCAGATAGGGGACTTCCCTTGGCCAGGACCAGCAGATGCATAGGATGGCAATGTATACCTTATCCCCGAACAGAAATTCATAATGCAAAGCTATGAGACTAAAATCAAGGAATGGACCCCTGATCATCAAATATTTCTTAAGAATTCTTTGATGAGACATATTGCTTGCATAGAATGGACTCAAAAATATGATATGTCTACATCTCAGAGTCTGGAAAAGCAAGTTCATTAGCAGAAAAAAAAAAAAAAAGCCTTGTTGACCCTGTTCATTTCATGCTCACTGATCATACCCCTAACCACTGACTTCCTCCTTCTCTTTATGTCTCTGCTAAGTACAGCAAGTGCACTCAGCCATAGCACCCCTTACAAACCTGCTACAGGTGATCTAAAGTCATGGTGAGCATTATGCTCTGCTTTAAAGCCCACAACCACCTTCTCCTCTTGAAGTAGGGGTGTTACTGAGACCACCAGAGCATCCTGAGACAAAAACTGGAAGACTGTAGAGTATTTCAACCAGCACACCCACCAACTAAGGAAATTAAAAAGAACTCTTCACAAAAGGTTTGGGGAAGCCGGGCATAGTGGCACACACCTGTAATCTCAGCAGCTCGGGAGGCTGAGACAGGAGAATTGCAAGTTCAAAGCCAGCCTCAGCAACAGCGAGGTGCTATCTCTATCTCTGAATAAATACAAAATAGTGCTGGGGATGTGGCTCAGTAGTGGAGTATCCCTGAGTTCAATCTAGTGACAGAAAAAAGAAAAAAAAAAGGTTTGGGGAATGTGTGCAAGAGACTTTCATGAGATCTGGTTCTTCCTGCAGCACATTTAACATTGACAATGTTGAATTCATCTACAACTAACATTCAACATGTACATGGAGTCATGAGCTATTTCTTCACCAAACTTAGATCCCTGCAAACTTTTCAATGCTTCCACAACTTGAGGCCTAATCACACTGAGATTAATATGAAAACATACAAACTGCTTTAGCAAACACAAGTAGTTCCCCCTAGCAAGGGTTTACTAATCCCCCAAGAAGACAAATGATAATAATTTTGCATAGTCAATAAAATCAACTGTGATTTTAGTGATTTCTTCTGGGCACAAAAATTGTGCTGAAGAACATGAATTAATTTGTTGAAGGAGTTTGACTACAAACACTAAGAATGGGTCCAGGAAGTGGACCAGTAGTAAGGAAATAACCCATTTTACCATTTTGTTTGACTAAAACATCTTTCATTCATAATAACACTTTGAGATACATTTACCCTAAATGACTCCATGAATACAGCTTTTATATAGCTAATTACACAACACATGCTGTATTTAATGCAAGACTCAGACATCAGGGTGCATGACTTACATTCTCCATCAGGGACCTGGATCTTAGAGGCTGTCCCTCTCAGTGAGTTCCTTTCTTTGCATGGTTATTCTCAGTGTGTGAGTCCAAACCTGTTCACCTTCCTGTCCTGATGCTGACTGGATCTTTTCTCAGTAAATTCTCTATGCCAGTGAGTAAGATCATACAGCCCTTAATATTTAAGGTCCCTATAGAGCATCACTGGTTGATGCTGGCCAAAAGTATCAGAAACGTTCTGTACATGGTAAGATTGTAGTGGCACACAACCACCAATTAAGAAATCAATGAAACACTGCATGATAAATCTCATCAGCTGTTCAGCGTTTAGTCCCAAATGACTTAAAATACTATAGGGCTGATCTGAGACAGCTCAAGCCATGACTTTGGCCAACTGCCACCACTGTGTTGCAAGACAATCAAAGCATTTAAACAAATCTCAGCAATGTTAGCAATATATTTCCAGGATAATATCAAGCTCCTACACAGATCATTTTGTATCAAACAAATGTTATAAAAAATTATAGGTACAACAGTAGAGATTAGCAATTCCCACACAGTGAATTTACACATCTAATCACTTGTGTTCAAAGTATTAAAATTGCTATAATATTTTTCCATTTTATTATCATCACCTTGATACAGATAGATTTATTTGTCTTCATGAAAACCTTGTAATGACATTAATAATGATAAGTTTGTTCATAACTCCAATATAGAAAACACCACACCTTTCAGCCACTTCAAAGTTTTGAAAGTTTTTTTGTTTCTTTCTTTCTTTTTTGTGTTTTTTGCGGTGCTAGGGATCAAACCCAGGGCCTCATGCATGCCAGGCAAGCACTCCACCACTGAGACACACCTCCAGCAAGGCACTTTTATTTTAACCAGAGAATATTGAGATGGAAATTTAATCAGTAAAACAAATGCAGTTTTAAGAATGTATATTAAAGCCGCTTATTTTTGCAATTTTTTGCGAAGGTGTTCTAAAATCATAAACTTTTAAAGTGGTTCAAAATCTTGGAGTGGGATCTAGTCTGGCTCCGCCTCTTCATTTTGCAAATGAAGAAAGTGAAGCAGGATGAAGATGAAGTGATTCTCCCAGGCCACCCACGCAGGGAGTGAGTGGCAAAGCCAGACCTGGAACACTTTTCTTCTACCTCCACGCCTAGTACTTCCCACCACACCTTACCACCTTCTTTCTTGGCAATTCTGGCTTTGCTGGCATTTACTCTCTCAGAAGTTTCTCAGGTTCCAAAATCCCATGTGTCCTGAATGACCCCACTTAAAAACACCAAGACTTCCTGTGTATTTTTTTTTCATCAACCCATAACTTTTTGCTAATGATTTTCTTACTTGAAGGCGCTCTGGTTCTTTCTGCCATTTACATTGCAAACTCTTAATATTATAAAGCTGTCATTTAATGGGCAGGTCAAGCACTGAGGCTTCAGAAAGCAAAGGTGAGCACGGCAGGAACCTGCCTCTATCTATCAGTCTACTGGCTGGGGCAGGTGAAGTATTTAGATAAGGAGCACAAGTTACCATGGAAGCACTTAGCAACACCAAACCCATACTGGAAATGTCAGGGTCACCTCCTCATAGACAGTGACATCTGAATGAGTCACACTCAAAGTCAGTCCTAAAAGAAAAGTAGAACTTAGCCATGCAAAGATATGGGCCAGAAAGAACTAGCACAATTCAGAGACTGTGAGTGGCCCCAAATGAACAGAGACTCATATAGTAGAATGGGGGAGGGGTACTCATTTCCCTAGACTGCTAGCTTATCACTGCCCCCTCTATAAAGGTTTTCTAAGTTTGTAGGGCATCTAATCCAATGGGCCCTAAACTTTTTGCCTTTAGGCCATTTGAGGGAGATGAAGGTCCTTTGGAGAGGGTGACTCTACACCCCACTTTGCCTGGGATAATCCTGGTTCACATCTGTTATGCCGGCATTAGGAACTGTGCCCCATCACTGATAAGCATGTGATCTGAACACTATGGATTCTTCTACTCACAGACCATCTACCTCACTCTTCTGCACACAGGCATGTGTGAAACACACACACACACACACACACACACACACACACACACCTATATGCATAGTTTTTTCATTCTTTAAAAACTGAATATTGACTCTGTCCAGGTACTAAGGTATCTTTTAACCTGCCTCATTTTACAGAAGGAGCCATATGTTGAAAAACTCTTTCTTGGGTCTTTAGTGTAACCAATACTTGGACAACACCTCGAGAAATCTTGCTATTATATTATAATGAAATGGAATGCCTAAATACTATAATGGAATGCCTAAATACTCAGCCTCTCTGGTTCACATTCTAACTCTAGGAGTAAAGTCAGTACCTGGTTAAGAAAATCATATTCTTTTTACCTTTTTCAGGGTGGAAGAATATTATGAGGATTAAATGAAGTGATCATGGGAGTAAATGAGTATGGAAAGTGCCTTAGTAGGAGGAAAGTAGCTGCAGCCATGAGTAATAAAGTTCATTGCTTAGCCTTCCAGTGGCAGAGGAGCCTCTGCTTGGCCAAGATATTCTGAAGCATCATGTCTGCTCCTGTTTCTTTAAAAGCCTGACCTTGACCACAGACCATCCCACTACCACCTTATAATAAATGAGTGCCGAACTGGGCCACATCAGAATGGCCCAAATTGCTGAGACTGCATGCCCCAAAGTCAATTTGCAACCCAGAAAGACTGAAGTGGCACAATTCAAGGAGTTAGGAAGCAAAGATAAAGCTGCTGACTCATTTTCTATGGCGAGTCCTTTCCTCAGACAGACTCCCATCTCTCCACTCATCAAAGAACCCTCCAACACTGTCCCTGACTGCTGGGGACTAAGGTGCAGAACCCACCAACTCTTATCGAAAACCTCTTGGGAGATGGAGGGGGTCAAAAGATGTTAAGAGCATGGGGTGATGGAAAGCCGGATCTATTTCAGCAATCCCACTACAAGCTGTGAGTCTTCGCGTGGCACCACTTCCACCCTGTGGTCCTCATCTACAAAACAAGAGGGCTCCACACACATGTGTCAAGTCCTCTAGTTCTGAGAATTCAGTTACAAGTCTATGGAACAACATCACATATTAAATGGATTTTAGGTTTGATTAGCTTAAAGGAAGCCATAAAAAAATAATAAAAAAATAGATCCTATGAGGAAAAAAACTACAAACCAGCCCAATCTAAGACAACTTAAAAGTCCAAGAATCCACTTTGTTTAAAGTATTCCAAACCCCAGAAGCGGAGAGGGAAAATACTTTCTGCCTAGAACCATGCATTTGCCGAGTAGATGAACGTTCATGTGATGCTTAAAGCGCCATAAAGTAGAACGATCCATAAAGTCTGAATTTTGACCCCACAATGCGCACACACCTTCTCAACTTTCTCCAGCTTTAAGAACCACGCCCTTTCTGGGACGAGCATTGCAAAATTCGCCCCGAGTTCCAAAGCAGGGCTGAAAACGTCCTCGGTGAACCACTGCTGCGCTCCACCACCACCACCAAACCCTCTTGGCAGGCTATTTCTTCACGTTCTGACCGTCCGTGGAGTGATTTTAAACCCACAGGGCGTTTCTGGCGTCCAAAGGGCTAGAAGCTGGAACCACCGCTATGGGGGATGCAAGGCAGCGGGCCACCCACGAAAGAAACCCACCCGTCCACTGGTTCACCATCTCGGATCACCTCCAATAACCATCCAATGAACTGTCCTAGTGGGGAAGTCGCAGGCCCTGTGTCCCCACTTTGCTTACCTGGAGTTGCAGTTACCCTGGGGAAAGAGCCGAGAGGGAAAAGGCAAGCGCGGAGCTCAGAGGCCTGGATGTGAAAGCTGCGACGCGGTGGCCCGGAGGAGCCGGCTCACCTGAGCCCCGCCCGCCACTCCCACCGTGGCCACGCCCAGCTGCGCCCTCGGTCCGCCCACCCGGGCGCTCTGGGCTCTTACTCACGCCTCTTGGCAGCTAGTCCGCAATTGAAAGAGATGATTCAGGCTGAAGTTGCTGCTGTCTGCACAGCTTCGAGGGCCTCGGACATGCTCAGGCAAGAAGTGGCTGTCGGTGGGTCCTGCCTTGGGCTAAATACATGCATGCATCAGTAAATAAAGCAACCCAACTAGACAACACAGGTCCAGAACGCGAAGCATGAAATAGAAGGAATCTGTGTGTGGTGGTCGGAATACTACAGACTAGTTAGTGGCACGAAAAGTACTCTACTCTCCTCCACCCTGCCCGTGTAAATTGCAGTAGCTTGTTCTGCTAGATGTGTGTGTGTGTGTGTGTGTGTGAGAGAGAGAGAGAGAGAGAGAGAGAGAGAGAGAGAGAGAGAGAGAGAGAGATCATTAGCAAAATACTTAATAACAAGTTGATAGGAGAAATCATGAATCATGATGGCTGGCTGAGGGAGTTCCAATAGATTGCGCAGTGTTGCTCTGAAATCTCCGTGGAGCCTGCTCTTGACATGGTCCAGGTTTCCCACCTTCCTGCAGCACCTTCATTCCATGGACCTCCTCCCCTCCTATCCTATCTGTACTCAGGAAAGTACCTGAAACCCGGCCAGTTGCTTCTCTGCTGTGCTCGCCCTATTGTTCATTTACTATGTTTCATCATCACCTATTTACTTTACAGTCTCCTCCTCATTCATTTTGAAACACATGCACACAGCAAGGACTTGACATACAGTATGCAGTCAATGAATGCTTGCTGGTTAAATGAATGAGAGCCACTCATTAGCTAAACTAAAATTAATTGATAGCTTCCCTACCTGCTTGTGCTGCCCACCCCCCTTCCTGTATTTTATTATTAACTAGGATCAAAGTCATAAACTAAATGAGTTGAACTCTGAAAGTAATATTTCAGGCATTAGTGGAGCAAGTAGAGGCAAGGTCATAGGAGGGGGTGTGGGCATAATGCCTCTTAAAATTTCATTATCCAGCTGTAGTGAGGAAAATGTGTGTTTGAGGGCAGAGTCATAAATTTGCAATCTGACTCTACCACTCATTGCTAAAGAAATCCTAAACAGAGTTCTTATTCTCTAGCCATGATTCTTTTTCTGTAAAATAAGGCATACATATATACAAAGAGACCATACTTGTGAAGTATCTGCACATGGTATGTGTTCCCTAGTGATGGTAGTTATTACCATTTTGCCTGTTTTTCAAATGTGCCCCGGGAATATCACAGTGGCCAAAAGGTTGGAGCGTGATATTGAGATCTCATTCACCACAATTATTTATTAAACACCTACTGAATGCTTGCTACTATGGTCCATAGATTGTAAGTGATTTGCACTTAAATCATAGAGCTATCCTCCCTTCTGGTGTTTATTAATTCCCTGGGCAACACTCTTATTCAGTGCTTGCCCACTTTAGGCAGAAATATTTCCAGTGACAGAAGTTCAGCAACACCCAAGGAAGGCTGAACACAATACCTTTGAGTGATTCTGACTGTTTGAAAGTTGGAGGCACCATTCCATTAGGGATACAAGACACACTCCACAGACATCTTATAATAGTTCCATCAGAAGATCAGAAGTGAAAGCAGTGAAATGTCTTGCAGCATATAATAAAGAATGTAAGCCTGATGCATGGCACAAAGGGAGTTCAGAGAAAAATATGACCCTTTCTTCTCCACGGTGGCCATCAACTTAATTCCTTTTAAAGTCCACCCCAAAACAGAAGAGTAGGAGAGAATGGAGTTATACCAGCAGTTCACATTTATAAAGCCACATTTTCAAACTAGTACCTAGAACACAACAGCTGAGAAATTCTAGGGGAGAATGGCCTCAAGAGTTTCTCGTGCTGTCAACATGGGAACTCCGCCTCCCGCTTTCAACTGGACACTGTGACTAGAGTCTGTGATTAATTGATTAAGTACCTGTTGAAAGTGTCAGACCCTGGGCAGGACTCTGGAACAAACAGCAAGAAGAGTTGGACCTAGGTATGGCTCTCAACAAGTCTACAGGCTAGCAAATGTCTATGAATCTGAGATCTAGGATGGCTGTTACAGTGTAAAATGTATACAGCTCGAAGGAAAGGCCTGGAAGGAACAATATTGTCAGTTATATTGCAGGAGGAGTTTCTAGGCAGCAGACATAGAAGAAAAAAGTTCTTCTGTAGTCAGAAAGCAACAGTATGAAAACAGCTATAGGTTACTGTTACTATGTGCAGTTATCAGTCTCTTCTCATGTGGAATCTTGAAAATCCAGCTCCAGAGCAGTTCTGATCTTTCTTCCTCTGGGTAAAATTCAAACCTATGAAAACAGATGCAAAATCAGATTGTACAGTTTCCTCTAGAATATAACATACAATTTCCTTATTATGCCTACTATTAATGGCCTCTTCCAGCTAAAATCTAAGCAGGATTTTTTTTTTCTGTTTTATTCTCTATTCCAAGGACCAATCAGCATCTGACTCATAGCTGAGTACCCAGCACACAGTGGAATGAATGGGAAGATAAGATGAGGAGGTGGCAGACTGTATAGAATGTGGCTGATTCAAATAATGATGAATTCAACCCACAAATTTGAAATCAGTTTGACATTTCCTTAAATACCAACTATCTTTCCTCCAGTTCTCTTTATAAACACCCAAGGCCACTGCATCTGATCCATCCCAAACAGCTTGCGTTTATAAAATAAATTTATCTTTATAAAATATTGAGTGGGCAATGATATACCTGTTTGTAGGAAAGTGCATTTGCTTTATAATTCCAAAAATAATTCATAACATTCTCTCTTTCAATTGCCACAAAAGCCATTTTGTTGACCAGGTACCAAAAAGAGCTTTTTTTGTTGTTTTTGGAGAGAAGAAATACAGTTAAAGAATAAATTATCCATTCATTCGTTATATAATTTTATCCAACAATAATTTCCTCTAGTTCAACAAAAGCAGTCATTGGCCCAAATATTTAATAACCTAGGAGACTGTTTTATTAGTGCTTTTTCTTGCCCATAGGTTGAAATATTGCAAACATTATAAGTGGATTAGTCAGCATTCTGGCTGAGGAGGGCTTGACACACCCAGCCACTCCCAGGAACAACCAAAGGAGCTTTGTTACAGCATGCTACCATCTCCTGTCTCCCTCTCCCTCCACACACACACACACACACACACACACATAGCCTTCCCTAGACACAGAGGACCATTATCTTTCTTTAAAATGTGGAGAAACTGAGTAGAAAAAGATCAAGTAGTGCTGGGGACACGGCTCCGTGGTGAAGTGCTTGCCTAGCATGTGAGGCCCTGGTTCACCCCCAACGCTGCAAAATAAAAAGATAAAACATTTATCTTGAAGTTTCTGAGACAGAAAAGAAAATGTTTACAAAAGCCCAGATTTATAATACTTTCCCCTAACTACTCCATTTTGAGACTCCAACCATTTGATAAGACAGTTTTTTTATCTTATCAATGTCTAGAAGAATTTTATATTAAATGATAACCTGAAAATAACTTATGAAATTTTTCTATTAAGACAAATACTTTTGGCCAAAAAACAGACAATGATGAAAAATAGAGTTAAAGCAGAACCCCAGAGTTAAGCCACAGACAACCAGGATTTCTTAAAAGTGGCACAGTTTGCTTTTAAAATGCTTAATACCATATGAAAGGCACATCCGAGCAGGACATTTAATATCAAATCACTTAGGTTTCGTTATGGATGTAGAGAAGATCAAGGTGACAGAGTGGAAAAGGGAATTCGTCTTGGAACTGATCCTGAGCCACACTCTGCCACTCAGTGGGGACTAGCCATCAGTAATCTGCAACTTCTCTGGGCCTCAGCATCCTCCTGTTAAAAAAGAAGACGGGGATGCGGACAGTCGTCCTTACATAACTTTTAGAAGCAAAAGTCCACCAGTGAAATCCTGTTTTTCCCTTACCAAAAAGAGCTTAACTTCTCTCTAAAATGAGTGGTGTGGAATGTATTTGGAAATAAAAATCAAACATGTTAATCAGTTCATTAATGAGTGGGTTTTAATTTATTAGTAATAGAGCTATATGATCTGGTTACTTCCCATTCAGTTGTCCTGATATCTGTATTGCTAAATGTCTTTATAATTTCCTTTTCATGTGTAATTCTCAGAGGACAGAAGGCATAAGTATAAGAATGAAAATAACAACCTTGCAAAATATTCAGTAAAAATAAGAATTTCAATACAGCATGTAAGTTGATGAACTCTTCCAGGAAAATATTTGACTGTATGTTAGTAATAATTTATTTATAATAATTGGCTGTATATTTTAATATCTAGCTCCTTTGACCCAATAATACACCTTTTAGAAATCTTTCTTAAGGAAATAATTACAGATTAGGTCAGGGATTAAGACATAGAAATGTCCGTGGTAATATTTATAACAGAAGAACTGGAAACCAGCTGAATATCCATCAACAGGGAAGTAACTAAGTATATTTTCAGAGTAATGTTCACAAAACTGGTTTGTGTATGAGTAGGTTACACGGCACATGTAAACCGCAAACCCAATTTTAATTGAAAAAAAAAATAAAACCACAATAACCTGTGGAGTAGGATTTAGGAGCCTTGGCTTCTTGCTCTGATGCACTTAAAGTTTGCTTAATTCCATATTAGAAAATGATACGGTTAGAAGATTTGAAGAAAATTTTTTAAAAAATTTTAGCAAAGTTATTTCTGGCTGATGAGCTTAAAGATGATTTTTATTCTTTCTGTAGTTTGTGATATCACCCAGATTGTCTAGTCCCCATATATCATTTCTTATGATTAAAAAGTTAGGTTTCTTTTTAGAAATAGAAATTCCAGAGCTTCCTTTGGTGAGGAAGAGAGGACCTCGCAGCTGCCAAGTAGAATCTGGTGTCACAGG